ATTTTATGAGAGGTTATACACTAAACTATAAAACAGTTATTAATCCAGTGAAAACCTTATTACAACTACAAAAGAGAACACAGCTAATCATAACAACCATTTACCTGGCATTTGCTGTAAATATGTTACACTTTGCAAATGTTTAATGAACATAAATTATTTTCATTCCCAAAACTTCTAATGTTTCCTATCATTATCCTAACTTATGGATGAGGAATTTTACCTATAAAGTGTTAAAGAGTTTGCTGAAGATGACAGCTCTAATAAATGGTTGAGTCAAAGTTTAAATCCACATTTCCTGGCTCTGAAGTCTATATACTTACCTTTGACAATAGTTATAAATATATATTACTTTACAGTTTGAAAAAAAAAATCACTTGTTAAGTCTACCCCCAGAGAGCAGTAGAAGCAGCAATATTAGAGCAACCAACACATCACTAATTATATGTAGACTAATTCTATGTAGAACCTGGCTACCAGTGAAGGAAGCCTTTGCTTCCCCATCCTGCAACCTCCCTCACCATTGGACAACTTTTCATATCCTTTGTATCCATAAAGGACCAGGGTCTTCCTCATGCATGTGCCCTCCCCAGTGAGTTCTCAGGCTTCTAAAGTCCATCTCAGTCCTCACACAGACTTCCAGATTTATTTTCCTTCTTCTCTCCCATCTAATCTGTCCATGTTAGGAACAAACCTTTTTCTGGACTAGTTGTCAATCATAAAACAGTGAGATAACTATTTGCCCTGGGGTGATGAAAAGCTGAATCATATATTTTTGGATATGGGATGCATTATGTCCCAATAAAACTGATCACAAATTGAAGATATGAAAAGGAGAATTCAAATAATGAGGAGAACATTGAAGCTGAATTTAGACTGTTTCACAGGCATTTCAAATTCTCATGTTATCTTATATTTGGCCAAAAGACCCTAACAGCAAGTGTCCTGTACACTAAAGTGTGGCTGTTTCATGCCATGTGCTGAGTGCTGCACAGGAAGTGAAGCACAGAACGGAGCATGTTTATGCTTTCACATGTTACTAACACCAGAGATTTAAATGAGAACCAGTATGAGCACTATAGAATAAAGAATCCCATGGCTTCCTGGCCTAGGGACACTTATCATCTGCATTTCTTTAAAGATCTCAGATCTCTGTGGACGATCTGCCTGTGGGAAAGCTTAACATTTGTGTTGTGTTAAGGATCCCAAGGCTCTTCCACATAAGCTGCTCCCTGAATTCTGTCTTTTCCACAGTGCCCTGGCTGCTGTCTTCATCTTTGACTGTGAATGCTCGCAAAGGCAAAGTTTTATAATTAAATTTGACTAAAAATGGTTCAGATTCATCACCAGAGCTCCAAGAAGAATGTTTGCAGATGACAGAGGTGGAGAATGGCGGAAAGAGTTACCACACATTCCCCCTTTAACACTCAAGGGTATTGTTATTTTTGGTTATAAGAATGTAAATGTTCTTTTAGTCTCGGCTGCATGTTGATTTTACAGCTGCCTGCTGACTGTGATGGTCGCTGTTGGCTGGGCTGGGCTACAAATATGTTTCTGTGTAAAACATGGTGTAAATCAAATGCACAAAAAAGTTTTAGAGGCGAGAAGGAGCTTGTTAAAACAAAGCTTGGTGTCCACAGTGCATTGTGTGGAGAGGTTGTTAGTTTAAGAATGCAAGCAAACATCAAAATGTTTGGAGATCTGACCATAAAATGATGCAAGGTGAGTCTTTGTTCCTGTCATAAACTTGAGTCATAAGAGCAAACAAAGATATCTAGAAGGTTGCTCAACTCTGAATTCTTTTTTTTTTTTTTTTTTTTTTGAGAAGCTTTTTGCTGCTGAGAAACGCTTTTGAAACTGGATCTCTTGACCAACATCTTATATCAACCAAAAGACCCGCAGGGTTCACAGCTGTGACTGAGCTGCTATGTAGCACTAGAAAAAAAAACTATGTCATTTTGAATTTTTAAAAAACCTGTTGTAGTATGTCTTAAAGTACAGTAACTGGAACAGGTGGGGAAGAGGTGGACATGGAATTGAGGACTGGAATTTAGAACTGGAAGGAATCTAGGGACATGTGTTAGGGATATTTCCTTGACGAAGATAGATAAAGGTCCTTGTTAGGTTCTTAGATTGTTTTTGTAACATTTGTTTGTCTAGTTTTCAAGACAAGGTTAAGTAAGTGGACTCAGGGTTAGGGTTAGGGTTGGCTATGAGCTCTCTGCTCACAGCCATTGTTGATTGGACTTTGGCCTTTTGGGGGCCTGCCACCCAGCTCCCAAATAAATCACACATGGAGGCTTATTCTTAATTATAAATGCACGGCTTTAGTTTGGCTTGTTTCTTGCCAACTTTCTTTAATTTATCCTGTCTACCTTTTGCCTCTGGGCTCTTCCTGTTCTCTTCTGTAAATCTTATTCTTACTCTGTGGCTTGCTGTGTGGCTGAGTGGCTGGCCCCTAGTCCTCCTTATTCTCTGGCTACTTCTTCCTTTCTTCCAGATTTCTCCTTCTAAATATTGTCTCTGCCTGCCAGCCCCACCTATCCTTTCTCCTGCCTGGCTATTGGCCATTGAGTTCTTTATTAGCCCATCAGGTGTTTTGGACAGGCACAGTAATACAGCTTCACAGTTAAGCAAATGCAACATAAACAAAAGTAACACACCTTAAAATAATATTCTACACTCTGTTAGAGACATGATTTTCTGTGCTATATTTCATATATCCCTGAAGTAAAGACTCCTTACATGTTGTCAGTCTCTCTCTACCCTGTCTCACAGCCCCCATCAAGTCATTTCTCTATATATGTGATTTAAATGATATTGTATACCTTTAAGTATATATAATATTTTTTTTAAAAAAAAACTTTAAAACTACTTCCCTGTCTTTGTTGTTCCTGCTACTACTACTGTCATTTGAATGCTTGTTTAACATGTACATCCCCTGGGTTTGATCCATAGGATTGCATAAATTTAAAAATTAGACATGGTGGTATATACTGTAATTCCAGCACATAGCAGGCAGAGGCAGGAAGACCAAAAGTTTAAGGTCATCCTCAGCTGCTTAGAGAATTCAAGTTCACCCCAACCTCAAAACAAAATCACAACAATAAAAATTCTTAAAGGTTCTCAATAGCTGTGTACATGGATGCTCACTGCTGTATCTTCCCAGACAAAGGGACCTTCTTTCACATCACATAGAACTAATAGTAACGGCACTGGATATAACTTGTCCTTTTAATTTGGGGGCTCTGAAATACAGGATTATGCCACTGTCTATTAAAAACTGTACTAATTAACAATCATACCCCAAATTCCCTTAAAAAATAAAAATATGAAGACTGCAGAACACTCCCACCCCCCACATTCATTCTCCTTATATAGATTCCGTCTGTTGATACAGCCCCTGGGGATCATTTCTTTAACATGGAATGGTCTAAGCTTGTAAAATCACATGTTTTTATGTCACTTGTCAAAGCCATGGTCTTTCCTAATGGCAGAAGGATTGATGCCAGCTCTGGTACAATCTGATGTTGGAGTTTCCTTTACAACATTCTCCAGAAATGTTTGGTTATGCACTTTTCTAGATTGCAAGAGTTAGTCAAGCAGGAAGAGAAGGCTCTTTGCTTTTTAAAGTGTCTACTCACCTTCTTGGGCAAGCCTCTTTATAACAGACCATTGATTCCTCTCCTGAACCCTCCTCCAGTAGCCCATTAGATCCGTTTCCAGGGCCAACCAGGTAAAGAGCTCTGTTTGTTTCCACTTGTACATATTGTGGTTTGTACCTTTTTATTTTCTGTAGAGTTTTCAAGATCCTTTTGCAAAGTTTATTTTATTTATTTTTATTTTTTATTTTTTTTGGTTTTTCGAGACAGGGTTTCTCTGGGTAGCTTTGCGCCTTTCCTGGGACTCACTTGGTAGCCCAGGCTGGCCTCGAACTCACAGAGATCC